AATTGTTATTTATTGAGCAGAAAACCCTTTTTCCCTTTTCTTTCCCACCCCCACAAAAAATGCAGCTGACTGTGAATCCTCAGGCACTGTCCTTTAGATCCAGCCTATCCTTTCTGTCCTACAATGATGCTGTTCCTGCAGACCTGTCTTGGGGTCAGAGAAGTCTCACTATTGAGAGATGTCCTGTGTGGCTGTGTTTGCACAGTAATTACCCCTGCTTATTCCAGAGCAATAACCCATTCCACCCACTTCTGTGGTTCCTTGAATCCATCCTCCCACTTTATCTAGCACATCTCAAACAGGCAGGCAGCTGCCTGGTGAGGGGAAGCGCTGCAGCATCTTGGCCTGTCTCGATTTTAAACAGTATTGTAGTTTTGGCTGAGGGCTCTGATGGGCCTGAGGGAGTTGGGGGGAGAGGGGACAGCAGCTTCCTGTGCATTTCAGCAAAGCAGAGACTGAGCCGGTGCTGCTCACCACAAATACCGGCGCTGCCATGAATTATGCATTCCTTGTTTAAAGGGAGGTCGCTCTCATCAATAATTGAAAGCTCCCTGCTCTGCCTTCAGCATCACATCTCCCACACCGGGAGTTAGGGAACTCATGAAATCTGCATGGACTTCCTCAAGGTGGCTAGGGGCTGATGGAGAGAGGCAGCAAAAAGCAGGCAAAACAAACCAAAAACCCTGCTGACAGTTTTAGTGCATGAAATTAAGAGTCATCTGCATCTACCTGCAGCTCTGCTCCAGTTCTGCCCCTCACATCCCTCTCTCCTCCCCTCTCCACGCCTCTCTCCTCCCAGGGTATGCACAGAATGGTTGGCTTGCAGACATGGTACAAAACAAGATTAGCGAATGTTTCTTGAAACTTTTGGCTCTGTTAGCTGGGACTAGTTTGCTTTGAGTGCTTGCCTAGAAAATCTCTACACTGGATGGCGGGGATGTTCCCAGGGGACACTTTGAACTGTGAAATTTGTCCCTCTGGGAAGATAATGATCTTTGCAGCCTGTGTCTCCAGCTATAGCTGTACAGTCCTGGGGCTGGTTCAGCATTCAGGGCAGACTGGCTGCCCTCAACCAGAGGCTGCAAAATCGCCTTTCCTGCAGACCAAACTTTTCAAAAGGTGTGGTTCTCATTCCAGATAAGGCAGGTGGAGGACAGAACCAAAACCTCAGAATTACCAAAGACCATGTGATTCTAATAATTTCTGAATTATCAAGGAGGGTGTAAATTGAGCAGAGGGCTGTAGGAAAATTGCAGGCACCTGAACTCATATGTCAACCTGATAATCCCCAGTCAGCTGGGCCTCTCCCTAACTTTCACCTTTCTCTGCCATTCACTCAGCATGTCCTTTCAAACTCCTCTGCAGCTCAGGGAGAAAGTCACTGCCTGGGTTGTTCTCCAGCCTGGAATCCTTATCCCTCTCTCAACATCTGGGCTATGCTGCCTGTAACAAATTGTACTCTGTTGGTAATTAGTCAACAGCAGATGAAGGGATTGGTCACATGCAATGCTCTGAACCTCAGCCAGATCTTGCTTCTCTTCAGTATCAGTCTGGGGCATCCAGCTCTTCCCACCATGTGCTTCCCTGATTCTCTTCTCCTGAATCCTTTCAGATCAAGGCCCCCTGCATCAGCATATGAGCCTAAATGGAGACTGAATGCTGTGGTGTCCCAGGAACTGAGAATTCTGACAAAGCAGCGTGAAACAAGAGTAGTACAAGAAACATTCTGTCCCTATCATACTCAGTTTTGTGCTCTCTGTGTGCGTTTGTTTATTTTTTAATGGAGAACAGAAGATTGATGGATGAAATTAAGAAGAGGGATGTGTAATTGGAAAACAGCTCAAGAAGGCTACAGGCAGCATATTGAAGGCATCCATCAAACATCCAGCTAATGTTGTTAAGGGTGTGTAACACAAACAAGGGCTGCAGGAGACACTAGGGAAAAAAAAAAGAAAAGGAAAGGGGAATAGGCAGGACAGGAGAAATAGCAAGGGAGGAGAACTGCCAGCAAGAAAGTGCAATCAATAATATTTGTATTGCAAGCACATCCAAAGGCTCCTGTTGGGATCAGTGCCGGACTGTACAAGCACATTAAGAGATAGTCCCTGCCCTCTACAGCTTAAACCCAGGAATTACCAGATGATCGCTGGAGATGGGTTTAGATGATCACAAAATTTTCTTCTGATCTTCAATCTCATTTAATAGGATCTACTTGAAAGAGTTTAAGGCAGAAGGAAGGTAGCTGGTTGTGCCAAGAATATACACAGTAATGCTTGCCAGCAGGCATGCAATTAATCTGAACCACTTAGGAGACTTTGTTTTTAATTATAAAAAGTAGGTAAAAATATGTGCAGTAAACCTCCGTAAGCCCCACTGGGGCCATCAGCAGGCTACTCAGAGGCACTGATATGTGACTGGGTTCTCATGCTGTGTTTTCAAAAGGATGGGCTGATGCTTTAATGGACCACTTTGTGGGAAATATTCTATGCAGGGTGGACACTAAGAGAATTCAAAGGGCCTTTGTGTGGGGAAGGATAGAAGACAAAGGCTAAAATTATTAGTAAGCCAGGGGATTCCTCCAGTCCTGGAAAGAGGTAAGAAAAGAGACTCTTAAGGATTGAGAAAAAGTAGGTGAAAGATATAAAGCAACAAAGAAGAGCACAGGCATGATGGATGCAGGGGGAGAAAGGGGGGGAGATAAGGCACCATTTTAAAGAGAAAATTAAGTATTCCAAGAGATATTTTTTGAAAATAGGGTTAAAGTCAGCTCCTCTGCAAGGTTGACAAGTTACCCAGGGCTTTATGCAAGGCTTAACTTGATCAGCATTGCTTGCTTTGGAAAAGTAATAGAGAGAAGGTGCATGTAGAAATAAATGAGCACAAAGCACCAGGGGAGTTGCACACACAGACAGCATCTCCACTTGTTTGCAGTGTTCGGGAAGCATGAACAGGGATGGCTTGAAGGGGGAGGAGGAGAAAGAACGAGAAAAGGAATTCGTTATAAATTCTTCTAACTCTGATCCATTCTCCTCTATGCTGTAACACAGCTGCCACTGCTGCCTCCTCCTCTCCTTCCCTCCAGAAGCAATCTGAGTTTGCAGCAGTGGCAGGCCTGCTGCATAGAAACTGTGTCTGTATAATTAAGTCCTTTTATTAAAGGGAAAAAGCACTGGCTGCCTGACTCTACTGCAGGGACATTTGTAATTGCAAGCTACCAGAGGAAGCAAGGAGCTTCAAGGAGCCTGGATGGACCTCAGTATCTGCTGTTGTTATTAGCAATCTTTGGATTTCTTTTGTGGCTCTGTCTGTTTTCACAGCCATGAATGATGGAAGCTTTACGCTGCTGTGCCAGTAAGGGATGGGATTTCCTGTGGGAAAAGCAGCCCCTGGTGTGGGTAATATCATTCTGCCCTGTGTCCAGCCTGGACCTGTAGCTTACCAAACACCTATGCCTTTGGCACTAGAGCTTGAAGGAGACTCTTGTACCTGCCCGGGACCCAGCCAACACAATCCAATGAAGTTATGTATATTTGCTGCACAAGGCACCTGCTGGCATCACCAAAACACTCCCGTGTGCCCCCGGCCACACAGGTTCCTTGGCCCACTTCTTCATCAGTTTTTGATAGCTTGAAAGTAGAGAAATGGGCACCATGGTGTTTACTGAGTGAGTAGGTAAGAAACATTGGAGATTATCACCATGAATGGCTGTTTCAGGGAGCAGTCAGTGGAAGTAGGTTCCCTTGAGGGATGGCTCCAGTTGGTGGTACCGTTGGTGTCGAACAAGGAATGAGCTCATGTAGCAGTAATTACCTTAACAGGGAATGCTTATGTGCATCCACTTGAAGATTTGCTGAGATGTGCTAGTCTTCTGTCAGATCTGGCTGAAATAGGTTTGATAGTTATTGGTGGCAGGGCACTAATGAGCCCCGCAATTGCATAATCCTTGTTTTTTCAGGACACCAAGGTAAAATGTCAGGGAAACAATTAAACAGAGATTCTAAGAAGGTCCCAGAGGATAAATTTAGAATAGCATCTCCTAATAACTTCCAGGAGTACCCTGTGGCTGCTGTCACTGCAAAGCAGAGCCCTTTTGGACTAGTTGTCATCTTTCTTCTCACGTAATTCTCCAAGGCTGAAGCAAGGCAATCCTTCCCATTTGGACAGAGGAGGAGCTGCTAGACCCAAATCCTTGACAAGGAGTTGCCTTTGAACAAAATGTGCCTAGATCCCTTTGAGGACCCTGGTTTTAGATGACTGGCCTTAAGTACACATAAAATTCCTTGGCCTTCAGCCCAGGACAGCAAGAGGATCTGGTGGGTATTCTGAAGTCTGTAATTTCAACTAAATGCTGCAATGGATGAACACTGCAAGCCAGAAGTAGAAAGGGATGTGGAATAATTAAACTTTCAGTAGGCATCACCAGCACTGTGGAATAACCAAGGTGGGAATTTCATGGAAAAGTTAGTAGGTGATAATGTGAGTCCCTGATTGCCTCAATGCATCTGCATAAGGAGGATGAATTAAAACCACAGAGGTGAATGAGATGCTGGCTATCCTGAGGATGCCTGACATTATTTGTTTTCTCCACTTGCATATGCAGGCACACAAATCTTTCAAACAGTTTTTAAAAATTATGCAAAAAACCCAAATTAAACAGTCAACACAAAGCTCAGGAATGAACACAAGTCCCAGAGAGGGGGTAAGTAGCAGTCCTCTATGGCTTCAGAATCAGCAAGATGAACAACCCTGAATTAAGGACAGTGGATTCATCATGGGACAGTGGAAGTTCTTTATAGCAACATAAATAGCTAAAAGCTTTATTCAATAGCACCAGAGTTGGCCAGGGCACGTGGATAATGGTTAGGGCCTGCAATGTTAATGGGACTTCTTGTAAACTTAGACAAACATTTTGCTGGATCAGGGCCAAACATTTATCATGTCTCCCTGCATTTGTGGTGATTGATATTTTGGAGGCCTTACTCTTCTCTCTTTTCTGAAAGGTAGAGAGATGCCTGGGCATTGGAAGCTCCCTGCAGCATGCTGAGGAGACGTAACCTTCTTACCACGCTCCTGATTGCCTTGCCATGGGCTCTTCTCCTAACCTTGTGGCATCAGTACCCAACCACCCACTACCTCAGCCTGCTGAGAAGTAAGTGCAGGAGTTCTGCTGTCAGTGTGCTCTGTGGTTGTGAGGATTGCTGGTGTGAACCCTGGTAGGAGGGGCTCTCTAGTGGGATGGGTTAAACAAAGCTTGAAGGCCCCCTAAGGGTTTGCCTACAGCAGGCACATAAACTGTTCTTAAGAGCGTGTTAAACATGTATCTTAGGCTGGCTTCGAGAAGGGGATGCTGTTGTGCTGAGCACTAACTCCAGACAGATGTGTGCCAATCTCCTCCCTGAAGAGGAGGCAGCCCAGCAGTTGTTAGTTCTCTAACATCTTCTTGACCTTTTCTCCTTCTCTTTCTTCTTATCCTTCCTTCCTTCCTTCGCCCCAGAAGAGACAGATGAGAACGTGACCTCTAAAGCTCTCCTCAATGGTACGTCTGCACTGAGAGAAGAAGGCTTCCCATCATGCACTCGGCAGCAGCAAAGCATAGGGGCTACCCCTAAAATCATCCAGAATTATGTGTACTCCAGGCCTCCCCCATGGTCAGACACCCTGCCAACCATCTTTGTTATCACCCCTACCTACACCCGGCCGGTGCAAAAAGCTGAGCTGACCCGCCTGGCCAACACCTTCCTACACGTACAGAACCTGCACTGGGTGGTGGTGGAGGACTCGCCACGGAGGACCAACCTGGTATCCAACCTGCTGGAGAAGGCTGGGCTCAACTTCACCCACCTCAATGTGGAGACACCCAAGAGCCTGAAGCTGGGTCTGTCCTGGATCCCATCCCACACCCCAAGAGGGACACTACAGAGGAACCTGGGGCTGCACTGGCTGAGGGACAGCTTCAGCAACACCGCACCACCAGAAGGGGTGGTGTATTTTGCCGATGATGATAATACCTACAGCCTGGAGCTCTTTGAAGAGGTAAGAGACGTAAAATTACATGGGGCAGAAAAGCAGGATATAGCTGCAGAGCCTCTTAAGTCCAGTTGTACTTGCAAAGGCCTCTAAAGCAGGGCAACCACGTGGACTTCTGTCATCAGCTGGGAGACAAGGGGTCTGGCATGCTGCATGGAGCCCACCTCACCCTCTCTGCACGCCATGGCAGCTGGGTGTAGGGCAGATGCAAACCTACAGTTATGCAAACCCAGGAGCCATGCTCCAAAGGGCTTAAAGAGCAAAGAGCACATCTGCCACGGTACAGGCTGCAGATGTGAATAGCTGCTCACACACTGTTGCACCAGCTAGAGTCCCTTTTGCCAGGGATCAGAGGATATATACCCCAGAATTTATACCTCACCTCAGGGACAGCTGACCTAATTTAAATAAGCACCAAAGACAAACTTCTGGCAAAGCATAGGTCTGCACTCTTGTAGGGGTGTGATGGGTAGGGGATGGTAGAAAAGTTGTCTGAATTTCTAATCTGCCTGTACTCCTTGGCTGCCCTTCAGTACTTCAGTTCCAGCCACCACATCAGGGCTGTGCCTCTGGGATCACAGAAGCTTGCCCAGACTTCGGCTGGAAACCTGGCTTTTGTGAGATGCCAAGTCTATTGTAAACTTGCAAAATTCCAGTAAACTCCCTTGCCACCAATTAAAGCCAAACTGTACTAAACCACTTGAAGTGCAGAATTATGCATCAGAACATATTTCCAGTTTTCAGAATTTTTTAGATCTCTGTTAAGCTCATCCTTTCTTACTTCTTTCCAGATCCTTTCTGACAATTTCAATAAAATCACACTCTTTTAGGCAGTAGCCATGGACGAAAAAAACAAGGTTTGGGGATTGGGGGAGAAATTATAATACATGAGGACAAAGATGGATTAATCATGGGGGGAGATTATTTCCATGAGGAGGAAACTGGAGTGAGTGGAGTTGATAATACAGAGCTAGAAGCCTGGCAGAAGTTGTACATGGCATTTACAAAAATGATAAAATGCTACCAAAAAAAAGGATAGGAGTTCAAATGAGATCAGAAAACCGAAGGTTTTCATCCTTCTGAGAGACTGAACATGGGCACAGAGAAGCAATGAAGCAGGTGTTCAGAAGATAATGTGCTAAAAAACAGTCTTGTGGCTTAGGAAGCTGTAGCTCTTCAAGCAGTAGCACGAGTGCTGCCTAGAGCAATGTGCTGCCTAGAGCAATGTGATTGAATGGGAAGTCAACAGGGAAGGATGGTGCCAGTGAGAGCAGAGAATGGCACACTAATGGGTTGGGACAAACAATGTGGGGTTGAATTCTCACCGCACTGTCTCTTTCCGACTCACAGATGCGCTACACAAGGAGGGTGTCAGTCTGGCCAGTGGCTTTTGTTGGGGGACTGCGATATGAATCCCCAAAAGTGAGCCCAGCAGGGAAGGTGGTGGGCTGGAAAACCGTATTTGACCCTAATCGTCCCTTTGCTATTGACATGGCTGGATTTGCTATCAGCATCAAGCTGATTTTGGAGAAGCCTCACGCCAGTTTCAAGCTGGAAGGAGTTAAAGGAGGCTACCAGGAAACCAGTCTCCTGAAGGATCTAGTGACTATGGATGGGCTGGAGCCCAAAGCAGCCAACTGCACAAAGGTTAGTAGGACAAGAAACCTTGAAGATGCGATCTCCTTGATGAGTCCTGTCTGCTTTTACAGCCTCCTGCTTTGCTCCTCCACCTTCCACTGTTCCTGCCCTGTGGTGGCACATGTCAGTGCCAAATGGTGCTGGGACAGAGGGACAAAGCTTGAGAGCTGACAAGCAGTGTTATGCATTCTGTGTTAATAAAGAACCTCAGATGTACAATTTGTGCCCAGACTGCTTCTCCAAAATCCAGGAGGACTGGCAGAGGGTTGAGTCTGGGGTTTTGGTCCAGAATGATTCCTCCTCCTTGTCACTGTTTCATGCACCTGTGAAGTGTCTCCCAGGATCAACCCCTATGAATCACATGCTTCAAACATGAAGCTGTGAGCCCCAGGTTTCTGAGTATCCTACCCAATGGATGTGGTACTCTCATTGTTTCCATGGCATCCAGAACCCTTGAACTCTTTGTGTTTCTTTCTAGGTGCTGGTCTGGCACACAAGAACTGAGAGGCCCACTCTGGTTAATGAAGGCAAGCGTGGATTTACAGACCCCAGAGTAGAGGTGTAAGCAAAGAGCCAGCTCCAGGGTGTGAGTACCTTTGTTTTTATTGTTTTTAACAGGGCAAATAATGTGTACCTCTTTCCTTATTTATGCTATTATTTCCTCAAAAACTGCATATATGAGTGTCCCAGTAATTCACCATGCCACCCTTTGCACAAGAAATTTCTTACTCATTCAAGACTCCCTGCAGATCACATGGAAGCTTTGCCAGCTTACAGCCAGAGAGAAAAGTGGCAGCAGAGTCCCCCAGCAGCTTCACTCAGTATTAAGGACAAGCCAAATTCCTTGTTCCACCCTTTCTGCCAACTCCAAACTCTCTTTAGTGTGGGAGTTGTCCTACAGTGTGTGGAAGGAAATCACACTCCTGCAGACAACCTTTTGTCCCAGCAGCCCTGCCACCTCTGCAGTGCTTCATGCATCCACCTTCAGCTTTTATCCTGCGTGAACAGCTGTGGTGTGGGCGCAGCAGGGAAAGGCTGATGGAATGCTTAGACCACCACAAAACAGGAACTGGCAAAGCACAGCCTACACAGACTCTCAGTTTGAGGGGTTTGGTACCAACATTATGAGAGCTAGGAATACAGCTAGAAATAGTGAAGACGCTAGGAAGTTCCTTTGCAGTTCACAGAGCCAGGATCAGCAGCAGGATGGGGGCTTATGGCAATCACTGCTGGTGAGGGCAGGAATGTATCGGAGATCATTGATATGTTCTTAGAAAGAGCTTGATGAAGAACGGGCTTCAGAGGAGCTATGACCTCCTCTGCCAGATGCCATGGCTTCTGATCCCAGTGTCCACCCCTGACAGATTCCTATCCCAAAAGTCTCAAAAGAATAAATGTATCCCATTTTGGGAGTACCCAGCTCTTTCTGAAATGATTCACAGATGTGTCAGAATACAGGATGCTGAATGATTTAGTCCTACTTTGGAAGGTATTCTAGGGCTGCTTTCAGTTCTGACCCCAACAGACACCTCAGCTCAGCTCTACCAGTGGAAATAAAACTGGCAGCTTTTATACAGACAGGCACGACTATTTCAACTTCTGCACTGATCTCCTGTGTGCATCATGAGTAGCTGCATACAGCATTTCCACACCATCTCATCATCTCTGAGTGACAGCCACACAAAGAGTGCAAAGCAATCCCAGTGCCTGCACACCCAGCAGCAGATGGAAGGGACACATGTCAGTTGACTAAACACAGACAGCTGGTGCCACCTGGGGTAGCCTACCTGGCCCTCCTGTGGGGCACAAACTCTGTACCGTATCTGCCAGCCTTTTATTAATATCTCAGATATCTTAGCAACACATAAATGATGCAAGGCACCTGTGCTTAGGCGGCAGCTCCGCTTTTCACCACTGCTTTTGTGAGATCCACTAGCAGCAACAGGCTCATTTTGCATACTCACCCATTCTGAAGGTATGATTGCCCAAACTCAGCTCCTACGCACTCAGAATCTGGCTAACTGGTCTGGAGGTACCACTTACCTTGTAAAGGATGAGCAGGTTTATAAAATCTCAGATAGATTAGACCCTCCTTGACTAATTGTCAGAGGAGGGGGCTGACTCTTCCACTACAGATGCAGAGTGCGGATGGGATGTTTCCATAAATGTGCCATTTATATATCAGCACTTTTGTTCTTACCATCTCTCCCAGCCCAAACACTCAGCCATCCTCCACGAGAAATGCCACACACCAGCTATGGATTCCCATGGGAACGGCTCCCCACAAGTCATTTGCTGTGGGAAATGAAAGCAAACAATCTGACAGATAAAGACGCTGCCACACGTTCACCAGCAGGACTTGCATCCTTATCTAAACCATGCTCTCCAATGCTTTCAAGCAGATTGTTGGCTGGGTCAGCCCTGTAGATTTTGAAGGAGCTTTTCACTTGCACTAGCAGTGAATTTGACCACAATACCTTCTGCACCACTGTCTGCCGTGTGGGGCAGCTACTCTGACCTGCCAGGCAGGCAGGAGGTACCCACTCCAGGAGACACCTGCAAGGTAAATTGCTTGACTGGGCAGTCAAGCAAAATTGTTGGATTACCTCTCTTAAAGTTCTAATTTGATATCTCTGCTGATGGCTATGGTGTTTTGGAGGTCCTTACTATCAAGGCAGCTAAACTTCAGAACCTTGACAGACATGACCTAGATAAACCAGGGCTGAGGAAAAAAAAAAAAAAAGGAGGCAAAATTACTCCTCTGGGGATATTCTGTTCTTAGACACAATAGGGAGAATGTTTCTGTCTTTCCCTCCAGGCAATTAGTCCTTGTTGAGGATCAGATTGAGCGCGTTAAATCCCAGACCTCCTAGAGTCTTCTTTCCCTTCAAAGACTGCAGATGTGAACTAGGCAGACATTGCTTGGTGTGGGATTTGGTAATCTCTCCTAATCTCTAGCTGGGCCACTTGCAGGGTTGCTTGCCACAGAATAACCAAAAGTTATCACAGCATACATCCCTGCCAACTGTTGAAATGCTGTCAAAACTCAGGCTTTGGCTTCTGAGAACAGAAGACAGAAATTAATTTCACTTCATATTTTTCTTTGTTAAAGTCCTAAAAACTATCACTCAAGACTGGTGTTATAAAAACTACCTAGCCTTATTGCTAACATTTATTTACAGGCATCTGAGAGAGAAGAGTGTGCTTAGGTTAACACAGGGGTCCTGCTGTCTTGTGAAATTCAGAAACAGAGAAAGTGCATCTGCATTTCAGAGCTCCCAGACAGACTGAACAGGGATCCTCAGATCTTATCCTCCTGCTCTTTCTTTAAAAAAAAATTATCAAAGAAGTTAAAATAATGATTTTTAAGGGCAGACAAAAAAAATCCATCAAAAACTTTATCTAATCCATAAATAAAATCTCCCAGCTCGGACTCTGTAGTGTAAACAGAATGAGCAGCTCTTCAGCCATATCTCAGCCCAAAGCTGTGCACAGTGTAGCTGAGGAACCTGTTTACTGATCCCTGCCAGGTATATCCCTCAACCATGGGATAGCCCTGTTACACTGGATGTTGTATTGACGCCTCTATGTCCTTCTTACCTCATCTTGTGTTTTTTTTGACAGAGGCAGCGGGCTGTGATCGTTCCTGAAGTTTGTCAGCAACCATAGCAGCTGTGCACCCTACTTGTTCTACCCAGCGCTCTGCTCCACTGCTGGAGGATGATGAACACCCCCAAATGTCACCACTCTGATCAGCTCCCACTGCCCAAAAAGGTGGTAATAAGCAGGGACAGAGCTTATGTGGTGCCCTGCAATCCTCCCCACCTGGGAGAGGAGTGCTTCCCTTCCCCTGTGGGCCCTGTACTTCTAACCATTCGTTAAAATTTATTAGACGTGATCTTCATTCTCAGCTGTGCCAGCATGGGGGCTGACATCTGGGATGGGTGCAGGTGCCTGCAAAGGTCTCTCCTGGCATATGGTAAAGCCTGAGCTTCAGTGGTTCAAGGTCAGGAGTTGTCACTAAAGCACAAATGTGGACCTGTTGGCCTGAGGCTGGTATGCTCTCAAACCAGCTTTAAAGCAAAGCTAGCCTGAGACACTGTCCCTCTGAGGGATGCATTCAGATACTTACATGGATCAGCCTTCAGTGTTGGAGAGGAAGCTGTGACAGAGTGCCTCATTTGGCGTTTGGGAGTTTAGAAGCAATCTGGTGCCTACCCCTCAGCTAGGATCTTGAACTGTTCCTGCTTAAGGTTGTTTTGGAAAATGCTGTCCCAGATCCCCAGGCAGAGAGCCCTCTGGATAAAGGTCGCTCTCTTGCTCAGGGAGACCCGGCAGGTACTGTACCTCAAAGGCCATGCCTCCGTGTCTCGCTGCAGGGACCAGAAAGCAAGGGCAAAGACGGATGGACTTGAACATATTCAAGGCCTGGAAGCCTGCTGGAGCACCATCACTCTCTGAAGTGAAGGTGGGTGAGAAGTGCTCAGAGAAGAGGAATCCTCAGCCTGCACTAATCTGCTGTGAGAACATCAAGGAATGAGGAGACATCACTGGAAAACCTATCTTGAGCACATACATGACAATTGAAACAGCAAATGTGACAAGATTTTGCAGCTGAACTTTGAAAGGAGCATGTGATGCTGTGAAGAGAGAGGAGTCAGTGTCATGTGGAAGGGTTTCCCTTTCCCTCAATAGAACAGGAAGACAGCCAGGTGGAAGGCAGCCCACAAAGCAGGAGGTGCAAATGAGGACCGAAGGAAGGATGCACTGGATTAAAAGCACAAGTGTTGATACCATGTGTGTGCGTGGGGAGTGGTGTTGCTGTGACTTTTCCAGGAAGATTCCTTGAATGACCCAGAAACCCCTTTGAGCGTATCTTGAAAACCTTCTTCACTCAGGCCATGAGAATGAAGGCTTTAGGCATTCAAAATACATCAAGGATTTCACAGCTGGGGAAAAGTTTTAAGCGACTGAATCATCCCTCACCCAAGAAATTCTGGGCTAGGAGAAAACTTATTTATTTGTTGATTTATTTATACTAGAATTCTTCTCTGCCTATTCCTTGATTCCTTTGATTTTTAGCTTAGATCACCTGACATATTCATGAAGGAAGAATATTACCCACTCGCCTCAAAACAGTAGAGCTTGGTGTTCACCGATGAATGTCATATGTTTTGTGCTCCCTGGGGTTTCTTTAAAATGGTGTCTTAAACTGGCAAAATAATCAGAAACACAGCAAGGAGGGGAGTACAGCGAAGGAAATTATAGTTCCTTTACGCAAGAGGCGTGGGTGGCACCAAGTTTCTGGCTCCCAAGCGATCACTGTGAGGTAAAAACATGAGCAAAGGAGTGCCTCACTCAACAGATAGTCCCCATGGGATCTTGGGAAGCCTCCATGAAGGGGGCTCTTTGAAGGGTATCTGAGAGAGGGAGTTGGTCCATGTCCCCTCAGTGGAGAACGAGCCACCATACATCCTGCTAGGAGGGGGCTAAAGTACAGGAGGGGGCAAAGAGGATGAGATGCCTCCCTTCAGAGAGGGACACAGGAGAAATTAAAGAATAGGCAACAAATAGAGAAATGGAGACTGTGTTCAGTGAGGCTTAGGCCGGGGTCTGTCCAGATGAAGACACCCAGCAGTACGAGGCCACCCTGCCAGCTGTCTCAGTATGAAGAAATACTGAATGGGCTGAAAAAACAGTGTCTGAACTCTAGGAAGGTCCTTACAGAGAAAGGGTCTGGCATCCTGGTACTGGATAGCATGAAGGAAGCCCAGCATAAACCAAATGCTTTTCTCTCTGCATTTCTCAGAGCTTTCTGTCCTGTCCTCTTCAGAAGGTAACAGGGCTTGCACTCCAGTGGGCTTTGCCAACCCATCCTTTCACCAGGGCTCAAAGCTTCTACCCAGCATTAAACCAAGATTAGGTCCCCTTCTTTGTGATTTCAGTGAATGAGCAAGAGTGAGGGAATAAAGGAGTTGATTTATGATCCTCCATTTTCTCCTCTGAGATGGGCAGGGTTTCTGCCCGTATGAACAGGAGGAGGAATGATGATTAATTCTCAGGCCTTTAATCTCACACAGGTACTACATAGGCTTTTGACACTGACATTGAGAGTCTATAGCAAGGATCTCTTCTCTTTGCAACACCATACACGTTTTTAGTTGTTCTTTCTACACCCCCAGAAGAAAGCAAAATTACTGTTCCTGTATGTACTACACTGTCAGTTCAGTGTCGGTCAGGTTCAGCTCTCAAGACCAGCCCTACCATACCATCTCCATTCTTGCCCCAGCCTGGCCCTGGGGAGTAGACTTTATGTGAATCAAGAAGTTCTGTCTGTCACTAAATTGTGCAGAACCAAGACCTTGTATGGACAGCATGAATGTATGCAGCTGATATTCCAGGCTAGCAGACATTTGGACCTGTTCAGCACAAATACTCTTCCCTGTAGACCAGCCTAAGGACAGCAAGGACTGCTGCTGGCCAAGGTGTATCAGCTAAGGGTAGGTGAGTAATAGGCACCACAAGTTGAGATGGCTGTTAGCAAAGCTGGGTGGGAGAGCCCAGGAGAAAAGCAGCTGTCAAGAGTTACAGGCTTCAGGGGAAGTGAACGCAGTAAGGAGGGAAGCTGCAGATCAAGCCTGAAGTATTTAATTAAGAGAAGGCATCCCAGTGCCTGGTTTTTACTAGCATATTAGTACCTGATATTCATGTTCTCTGAGATTCATCCAATTCACCAACCAGTGAATATTACTAACCTTTCCTGTTGCAGAAAATACTATTGACGAATGAAAGAGAATGTCAAGAAAGTACTTTTTAATGGTTATTTATTTATATTGAATGGTACTAGAGCATTATTAAATACAATGTGAATAGTATAATATTGCACCATTGTCTTGTCTGCAGCATAAGTGCTTACTCCTTTTCCAGGACTTTTCCACAGTGGACTCTGGAATGGAGAATGTATCCATTTTAGTTGTTCTCAAGGCTACTCATTTCAGTCTTCATCTGACCCAAATGTCACAAAAGAAAGTCAAGCAAAAACATTTCAGGTCCCCAAGACTGTTGCCTGTATTATGGAGATAAAGGAAAAAGGAGACAGGAGAATATAACCCAAAATCTATAGTCTTACAGCATCTCTAGTTGTCATTTTGGACATGGTGACCATCCCTACTGAGATTGCTCTGCAAAGGTGCTGACCACGACTCAAAAGTGAGTGGTGGTCAAAACACTGAGCAGGCCATCAGTTCTCCATCACAAAGGAGAGGGGAAGACAAACTCTCTTAGTGAAATGTCTATTTGACAGGAAGCCACTGTTGGCTAATCCAGAATCCTGGAAGAAGCTAGCAGATCCAAGTCCTGTTTCTAATGCTCTCACTGATTTTCTCTGTCACTGGGCCAAGGTACATGACATCAGGTATCTGGGTTTTTTACCATCAGCAGGGCACCCACCTCCCAGAAACGTGGAAGCAGTTTTAAGACTTTTCTGAGGAAGCCTTGCTAAAAATTTAGCAGAGTACAAGCCAAATTCATACCTGTGTAATAAAGAAAAAATCACATTCTCAAAGATGCTGCTTAAAGTACAGTGTGAAGTTTACAAACCAAGATCCTGCAAAAGGCTGAGAAAGAACTTCTGCAGCCAAAGTACCTGAAACAGAGTACCTAGAAAACAGTCACTCCCAAAAACGAGGGACAGCTCTGATTGGCTGTAGTGACTATAAGTTTCTGCAGTGCTTGTAAAACAGCTAATGCTCCTTCCTCTTCCGTTCATGGAAACCCTGGGGACTGGGAGGGCAGTGGATAAGACATATTGACCAACACACCATGAGCACCCTCTCTGGTATTCCTCTGTTATACCAGCTGTTCCTCCCCTCCTTGGGCCCTGCATTTTCAAGGCAAAACTCCCAAGAGTCACTTTGCTGCAGGGATCTAATGCAGGCCCCACGAGACAGGGCATGGAAGAGAAGGGGAGAGAAAATGAGCAAGCAAGAATGAATCTTATTAAATGGAGCAAAGTACTTCTCCCAGTCTCTCATCACATTCAGGGCTGATTGGAGGTAAAACTGCACTTGGAGGGAGGGAAGGCCCCCTCCCCTGGGACAATCCAGAGGCTCTCGCACAAACTTAATTTCAAGCTCTGTTGAAGATGATGTTTGCCTTTTTTTTCCTTCTTTTTCTTTTTTTTTTTTTTTAATGCATTCAATTTAATTTCTCAGGCAGATGTGTGAAAATGAGAAAGGCAGACCTTTGACTGTGAAGACAACCCAGTGCCTGTTTCTTACCGATCCAGTCTCACATTGTTTTCCTCCATCACTGCCCTCAGTAAATCTCTGTGCAGAGGTTGCTAAAATGCCCGCCACCTCCCTTCCACGCTTCGGTGGAGACAGTTACATTATTTCTTTTTTGCATTTAAGCAATACAATTCAATTTTAATTCAAAACACACCCTAGCTTTCCATGGCACTGTTTAGAGCAGGAGCACTGTGACCTTGAAAAGGCTCAGACCTGCTGGCACCATGAAGTTCTGATCTGTACTTTGCTCTCCAGTCCCGACTTGTTTACTTGTGAGAAAAAGGGTCTTGGTGGATTTATGATCCACCCATTTTGATGATGATGGTTGAAGGGGAAAGAGACAAACTGCATTTGGTTTTGGAAGGCTCCCAAGGGAGACATTCCTGGACATTCAGCTCTCAGCCTGCACTGAAACACATGCTGTTTGGCTCCTCTGCAGACAGTTGATCTGGCAAGCTGTATGTTAATTTTCCAGCCTTGAGAGCATATATACACATAGGTAAAAATACAGATTGGGGTAGGCTTCTGCCTTTCCATCTGACCTGATTCTTCTGACCAAAAATTGGCATGAGGTGACCATTTTTACAACTAAGCCCTGACTGTGACGAAGTTAGCAGAGCCACTGGTGCAGGGCGGTTCTAGTGGATCCAGCTTCTCCCTTGTCCAAGACAGATGGAGGCAGACATGCTTTGTCCACATTGCTCCTACATTGTGATTTCCTACTGTGACCCAAGGAAGGATCGCAAGCGAAACATAAAGCAGTACTAGGCCCTAAAACAATTGCTGTCTGCAACCCCAGGTCATACCACGAAAATCTTGGTTCCTTTGTTTGTTTCATAGCTGACACAGAGATTAATTTTTTCCTGTCCGTGGCATTGTACTCACTGGAGCTACCATGGAACAGCAAGCTTTGCTTTGTTTTATGGAGGGGAAGACAAGCAGGGTGGGTTTGCCGAGATTGTGGAGAGAATGGCACAGGGAAAATGTAAACAGTGGAGACTCACAGCAGTGTGCAAGAAAAGCAAGCTTTGCAGCAGCAGCATTGGGTGGGTTTCAGTAGAGCAAGACTTTGCCCAGGGAAAAGAAATGTTAAGTACATTTTTTATTTTAAAAACCAATTAAGTTAAAATTAAATGTGAAATGACGACAATTTGCATCCAGGCCTTAAGCAATCCACTTAAATTGAATAATGAGTTGTTCTGTGCAGCAGAATTACTGAGATCGTTTCCTGTAGACATATACCCTATATCTTAGGCCAAGTCTGAAGGAAGAGTACTCCCAGCTCCCCATAAAAGTGCTGTCAGCCTCTCCCCCCATCTTTTTCCCATGCCACCCTGTTTGGAGGACAAGCAGCAGCACATGCTTCACAGAATCATAGAATGGGTAAGTTTGGAAGGGATCGCTGGAGATATCTGGTCCAAGCTCCGTGCTCAAGCAGAGTCCCCTGGAAAAGGTTAGTCCAGGCAGCCAGTCCCGGTGCTCAGTGCTGCGCCTGGTCTGGGATTGCACACAGGGGCTGGCTGCCTGACCACCTTGGAGCCGGATGCTGAGCTCAGGGTGCTGCCCCCTCTCACGGGCACAGATTTCCTTTGAACTCTCTCCCCACTGCAAACCCAACCCCTGACTCTTCTTTGGAGCCTTGTAGGAATTTAATATGTGTAAGACGTCTTTTCCTCTGCTGCATTTAAGTGAAAATGGTCACACTAGAGCAGGCAGATGACTGACAGCACAATCTTGTAAGAAGGCTTATCGCTTTACAAAATCAGCCAGTGAAGAAAGGAAAAGCCAAAATTCTTAAGAGACAGCAAGGCCATGATGGGAGGCCCCTCACAGTGGGGCCGTGCTCCTGTCTGTGGTCCCTTCAGGCTCAGGCAGAGGTGTATCCATTTCACAGAATCACAGAATCAATTAAGCTGGAAAAGACCTCTGAGATCATCGAGTCACATCAAGCACTACCCTGCTTGCCCCATCCGTTCTTTCCTTAAACACCTCCAAGGGACAGTGACTCCATCACCTCCCCGGGCAGTCTATTCCCACGTCTAAATTTCCGTTCATCTCTCCCTGACCAAATTAAAGATGGGACAGCAGCCGGGTGTTGACCGAGGAGACGACACGCTGAGCAGCCCAGTCGGCGGTCGCTGACGAGGGGGTAGGGAGGGGGGGGATGCAAACTACAGCTCCCAGGATGCCGCGCGGCGGCACGGCCCGCCCGGGGCGGGCCGTGCCGCGCGGCATCCTGGGAGCTGTAGTCTGGCCGCGATGTGGGCGGGCGCTGCGTCTGTGCCACAGCGATCCCGTGCCGCTGTCCCCGGGCTCTGCTCGGGGTGGCCCTGGACACCCAGGACCCTCTGCCAGCCCGCCTGGCACAGCTCTCAGCGGGAACGGGAGGTTTGGCTCCCGGCGTCCCGACGGAGCCGCGCTGAGAGAGCACGCTGCCGCCTCAGAAAGTTGGAGGAGGAGGAGGAAGAACAGGAGGAGGAGGAGGAGGTCTGCACAGCGATGTAGACCGGAGCGTGGGACGGCAGAGCTCGTGGAAGGCGGATCAGCTCCTCGTCGCCCAGATTCCCGGAGCATGGGCTAAAAGCTATGTCCCTCTCCCGTGTGGAAAACCACTGTTTCCTGCTGTTTGTGTGCGTCTTCCAGGCGGTGTTTATCCTCATCCTCTACCGAGGTGGACCTTCGAACGTGTTCCGCGGGTTTTTGGACTCGCCGCAGGTTGTGGATTACTCGAAGCCCCACGATGTGTACACAAACCTCAGCTTGTTCACCCGGGCTCCCAATGAGGACACTATGCCCCTCTGCTCGGCGCGGTCGCCGGTCCTTGGTAGGTACGAACGCAGCGTGTTCACCTCGAACGCTTCAGAGATGTGAGTTGTGTCTGCTTCAAAACTTTTCCACTTTGGAACCCGTGGACTGATGTAATTGACAAAATTCTCTCCCGCTAACTAACTTGTTTTGTTTTTTTTTTTTGGTTATGCGAGGAAAAGTATTTTACTGACCTGTAAACTTTCCAGTGTTAAGGGCTTGGCTACATAGATGTTGAGATTGTAGAGCAAGAGTGATAATAGCGCATGGTGTTAATATCAAGTTAGTAATATTTCTTTTTCTTGGCAGTCCTGAATAAAATGTGCCAACGATTCAGTAACTGCATAACACTGACCTCTGACTCACCGTAACCTCTGGGTTCTTTGTCTTAACCTTATATCAAGCCTGTAGTTCAATATAAATTGATTAAGTTGGATTTAAGTATCATTTGCATAAAGATATAGCTTGGCACCTTGGTCTTCATGGTGAACTTACTGGCCTGTGACTGTTACACATCCTTTAGACTTAGAAACTTCTCCATTATACTTAAAAGTCTGGTCACAGGTTAGTTTGTATTTACACTAGAACCACATTAGAGCTGATCCTAAAGGCAGCTATTGCACTACTAAAAACAGTTGAGAAATTTTAAGTAAATGCAAAGTCAAACCTATACAGCAAATGTAGCGCTATTAAAGTGGTGATGCATGTCAGGAAATAGTGAATCCGTCAGCCATGAACGGGATGAGTTCTGTCAGCATGCACTTAACAGCTGGTTTGGGGCCATCAACTTGTTAGAGTACTTTGTAGTACATTTCTCTTGCCTGGCTTTTCTGAACTGCCCAGGTTTCTGCATTATCTAAATGCTGTATATAACTAGCCTTGGACCACTGCTTAGTAGTTGCCGTGATGTTCTGGGACAGCTGATCACCACACGTGGAATCCATTAAGAGCAAATGTCTGATCTCGGTTCACGTGGAGGTTTTGTGGGAAGCCAGTGCTCTTGTGTCAAGTTGCTTACTTGTGCTACAGAACTCTCCTGGGACCCTTTGGATGGGCCTGCTTAGACTGCCATCTTTGTAACAATGGCTGTTCTTTTGAGAGGTTTTCTTCCTTCCTCTGTTGTTTGTAGTTAAATGAAATGCATGCAGTAGGTATGATGAACTTGTATGATAACTTTTGGGTATATGTTTCAGTGTTTCCCTAGGAAACAGCTCCAATAAGTAAATCCTGAAATCCTGATAGCACAGAGCCTTTTTGCACAGCTGCCAGCTCTAATGGTCTGGGTGCACTCAGACCATCAGTTCTTCTGGGAAGCTACAATACCTAGTTTCAGACTGAATGGTTTTATTTGAAAAAGCACAGCAGGAATGTGACTGCACCCCATTTGTCTCCACTACTGATGAGAATCCGCTGTCCTGAAGAGTCAAAGGAGACAGCTTTGGTCTCAAAAAAATAGAACACCGAACAAAACTAGATGCAGTTCTGTGCAGCCTGTCTGCAAACCATCAGATAAGCAGGAGTAGTGATGAATACGGAGGAGGCAGATGCAGGGTAAAATTACACTAATCTGTGCTCTTAGAGCTATGAAGTCTTTTTAAGACTTCTGCCCACCTCTGATAGTGCTGGGAACAGGGGATTGGCCTGCATGTGCTACTGCAGAGCTAAAATGAAAACATAATGTTAGTCATAGGCAGAAACAGTCAGTTGGCTGGGAGAAAAAAAAGTAAGAGGTAAATGAGGCAGAGTAATTGTGGAAGCTTTGCTGCATGAAAAATATTGAGTGGAGCATATGAACCATTGTTGTGGTGAAACACAAGGAATTTGGAGCACGGACACAGATTCAGCTTAAGAAAAATGAGCGCTCTGCTACAACTTAACTTTTAGTCAGTGATATTTCCCTTTAAATATAGGAAGTAAATTATTCCTTCTAGTATCTCTATATGCCAGCGTCTTCTGGGTGTTTTGCTTTGTTTTTAACTGAGAAACATGCTACTTTGTAAGGTAGTTTGCCCTTTGTTTTGTATGTAATGGGCACATATGAATAGATATATAAACATTTTATAAATGCCTTGAATGGTTGTTATCATCTCTCATGAGACTGATCTCTCTTGGAAGCGTTATATCAGAGAGACCAATGCCTTTTAATATTTATTTCATAAACTCTATTAAATAAGATTTCAAATCAATTCTCGAGAACTCCAGTCTCCTAGTCAGAGCTGGTAATAAGTCACTGTGCCCACTCCAAAGCGTGTTAAAGTCACTGGAAGGATGCCAAATGGCTTAAATGGTTTCTGCATCAGGGCTTTTATGAAGTGCGGCACTTTCTCCATTTATATATATATATATAGTAGATCATTTTGATAACTGTTTGAATGTAAATCAGCTTGCAGCTCATCTGTCTTTTTCCTGCCTCTTGAATTTACAGCATTTTGGTTCTTCCAGGGCTTTGGAGTAAGAATTGAAGTATAGTTGCTAATCATCTCTGCCTCAGAGGAACTAGACTCTTGCTGACTAGTAGTCCTTTTTTAACATCTGGTTAAAGTCTAGACATTAGACCTTTTGTCATCACAACTTGAAAAGCATTGCACAAGGTATTCAGTATCTTCATTAATATCGTGAATAAATTACTTAACTTCCCTCAAAAGTTAAAGTTTCTACACAAATAACTGGTTGCCTGTTTCCTCCTCCTCTATTTTTGGAAAAAGTGAAGTATTTGTATGCTAGAGTTGTACTTCTTTAAACATACCAAAGTAGCATTTAAATACAAAATCTGTCTTTCTCACATTGCATGCAAGATGTCTTGTTTTGGTTTGTCTTTTCCTCTTACCAGGAAGAAGTTTGATGCTTAGAAGAATTGGCCTTTTTTATTAATTTTATTTTGATTTAAAGAGGTACCTTACTTCATGCATGGGATGTGCTGAACAAGTTGGTTTGACCCTTGAGAACTTTAATAGTTGAAAGTTCTGTCTGTAACTCTGCTGTTTATAACTCGCTCCTGCTAAGGAAGGATTTTTTTTCCAAGCCCTTCTTATAGCAGTTACTGCCTTTCACTGCCATCTGTCATAACCTTTTCATGAGCATGACCATCTGTTGTGGTAATAAGTAGCTCCTGCTACGTTTTCCAATGCTACCAGAGTTCCTTCTCTTGGATTTAAGGGTAAATAAAAAGGTGGTAATGCTGAGATTTATTTTCAGTTGCCACTGAGGCAGCCTTGTATTCTGTCACTAGAAACGTATGCTTACATTAAAGCTGTTGGTCTGCTTTTTTTTTTTCCTTTAAACAGTGTTAGAATTACACAAATACAACTCTGTTAATGTAGTGTGTGTGGTGCTGCACTGTCTCAGTGCAGCATTCATCCGTGCTACCCTTCCCGTTTCCTTAGCTTGTGTAAGTTCTGCTTGTTCTGGTTGAGCTCTGTAATTAGAGCTGCAAACTTCAAATGTGTAGCAAGGAGTTTAGAAGTCGAGTAGTTACTTTCTTAAGGTGGGATGGATCTGACCAAAATCAAGAGATCCCCAACAGACAAATGCATTGCCTAGAAAGTAAAGCAAACGGGCAGTGTGTTGTTACTGGCACAACAATGCAGACAGGGAATCGTGAGCTGTAACTCTACACACTGAACTTCATATTAATTAAATACCCTCTGTGTGATGGTACAGGCACAGAAAGAGCTTAGGAAGCAGGCAATGGAGAAATTGCTTGGGCAGTTCAGGGTCTTGGCTCTGTACCTTGCCTGAACTGAGATCTTCTGCTTTCTGTTATGTCTAAGATGGGTTTTTCCTCCTTTCCAAAAGCTGCGTTTTAGCAGTTTTATTTTCCCTCTTTGGTCCAGCCTGCAACTGCTCTGTTTGCATTTGGAATTTAATTGGATTACGGTGCATTTGCCTTTTGTTAGTTGGGCAGAAAGGAGACATGAGAGCCAGAATTTAGCTTGTAGCGGAGGAGTGTAGGGCAGCCAGAGGTTTTGGAAATATAAGTCACACTAATTTCTTTTCTCCTTGGCATGTGCACTTTCTGAGCTGAGTTGTTTGAAGTCTGGAGCCAGGCAGCATGGGAGAACATGACATCTTGAAAAAACTGTAAAATGCAGATACTACCCTCCTGAGTGGTATGCTTGGGTGTGGAAGGAGAGAACAGGTGTGAAACTATTGCATGTTATATTACTCATACCCTTTAACACTCAAATTTAGATTTTATTTTTTTTAATCTAAGGATTATCATTGCAGAATCTTACTCTGCAATACAAAGAGTCCTAATTGTTTTATAGAAAGCAAAATCCTGCCTTTGTGGGAGGAATTAATTCCCTTTCTTATATTTTCCTTGGAGCTATGATTTACAGTTGAAATCCCTGAATATAACATTTCTTTATCAAGCTCCAGCTGTCATAAAATCCACGGTTAATGGTGCTTTAGTTAAAAGATCTGATAATCAGGGAGTCCACAGACCTAAAAGGCAGTATAAACTACAAGTTAAAAACATTGTTGGACTGAAAGGTGGGGATCTTAAAGGCAGAAGATGAAACTGTATGCATAGAAGTAGGTGACAACATCATAAAACTGTAAATGTGACCTAGATTCATGGGCCCACAGCATGAGTCTGTGAAGAACTATCCTTCTGTTTCAGGTACAAATATATGGCAATGTACTCCAGTTTCCTTCTGAGGGTAATGCAGTCAAAATCAAATTCCCCTTCATTTTAAGTGCTTGGGGAAGGACTGAAAGTGACACTTAAGAGTCAGGTATTGCGTGATCTTGCTAGCAACCAAAATTCAGGTTTTCTTTTTAAAAAGTGGGATTCACAGTGGCTAGACCTTTTTGACAGTGTGAGGAATGAGACCAGTGGCTGCTAAGAGTGACCTTCAGGAAATACCATTTGCATGTTCCCTTTGCCCATCAGAAATGCGATGTGTAACAACTTCCACGTAGTACCAAACATTTCCCGTTTCTGAATGGGCACCTTGAACCTTAGGGTAAATTTAGTTCCTAAGCTTTGTTACTGCTCAAAAAAACCAAACAACCAAACCCCCAAACAAACAAACAAAACCAAAGAAAAACAACAAACCCCCAAAACCAGTGAAGGGATGTTTCTTCCTTCTATGTCAGTTAAACAGGATGTGGGTGAGCGCAGGCTCAATTTTTATGTTTTTCATTTGAATTGTAGCAGAGACTTGAATGCAGGATGGCCTGGAAGAAGTAGTTTCTGGACCTGCTTAATTAGTCTTAAGACACACCTGTACCTCTTCCTGCTCAAATGAAAGCTACTAAACACCAGGCCTAAACATTTGCCCTCTCTGAGGCTTCATGAGCAGAAGTTTTTAGAGAGAATAATTTACTTCAGTGCTTTGAGAGAAAGTCTGACTTATGAGATATGGAATAACTCAGCTGTAGCATTAACTATGAGCTTGGAAGGGGAAAAAAAATATTGTTTACAGCTATTTAAAAAAAAAAAACAAGCCAGCAACAACTTGCCTTACAGACTTCTGGTGCAAAAAAATTTTTTGCCTTTGGTAGCACGGTTTGCAGAGAATTGTTGAATAGAAATGTCATTTGAAATTGCCAGCTTGTAATTATGATTCAGGTGAAAGTTTTTCCCTAGTTCTTTAAAGTATTAGATTTTAATCTTTCTCTGCATTTGCGCTTTATTTTCTTAGAAGTTGACAGGTGTAGGAAATCATTAAGGCACACTGATTTGTATGTAAATTTAACTCTTCTGCTACTTCTGGAAGCTTTTCTCAGTACCCATAAGGACAGGCATTTAAATAATTGTAGAATTTGTTTATTTATATCATAACAGTGAGATTTGTGTTAAAATGGTAATTGATTCTTCTTTTTACCTGTGACTTTTCAAGCTTTTTCCATCTGAAAAATGGAAGAATTCATGTAAAAATGCAAATTATTTTATTTAATTAGGTAAAAACTGTTGAACATATCCAGTATGTTTTGTATTTAAAATTCAGGTGCTGAGTAGAGGAACAGTGATATGTAGTTTCTTTTGCTACCTTGTGCCTGTTCCTGAAAATGTAAAACCTTTCTTCCTTCTCAGTTCTGTCATCTGCTTCTTCCAACATTTTGAAGTACTGCCTACTTATCACAGTGTATAAAATGAAATAATATAGCAAATACAGCCATTGTGGCATGTGATTATAACATCAAATTGAACTTGAAACGTTTTTTAAGATAAAGCTAACATTTCCTAAAGTGTTTGTGTCCATCCAGGCTTTAAACTATTTCTGCCCTGACCTGCTGAATATCCATTTGGACGTCTTTGTCCTCAAATCTCTTCTGAAAGAGGCTTAGAGAAATGTTCTAGATGGGTAGCAAAACCAGATGTGTCTGTTCATCTTGATTAATCTTCAGCTCTTTTCTTACAGTGAATACATTATTCAAGGATCTCAATCTAAGCAACACGAGACTGTAGTAGGGAGCCAGTAGCAGGCGAGAGCAAGCTGTGCAGGAGCCCAGTGAGACTTGCTGGCTGTGCCAGGACTCGGGATGCCTGGCAGGGAAAGTGCCATCCTGGTACTGAGCCTGGCACCCCTCGGTGTGGAGCTGTGGGGTGGTGACCAGCAGGCAGTGGTGAAATTCCTCACCTAGGCCCAGCTGTGTGGGCATTATTAACTGCTCTGTGGTAGGGCTGGTGTCCCGAAGTAGTGACCATGTGTAACTAATCTGGTAGGTCTGAATGAAGGCTGAGAAACATCACTGACCTTACTTTTTTTTGTTTCTCTTTTCTGTCTCTCCTTACAGTTGGTCCATTAACCATCACCTTCAGGATGCTCCCCAGTGAAAGGATGATCATCAAAAAAAATCCTTTCGTTCAGTCTGGTGGCCACTACAGGCCACCTCACTGCTTCGCCCGCTACAAATCTGCCATCCTTGTGGCCTACAGGAACCAAGAGAAGTACCTCCACCATCTTCTCTACTACATTCATCCCTTCTTGCAGCGCCAGCAGCTCAGTTACACTATCTACTTGATTCAGCAGGTAAATCTAAATCAAATGTGCCTGCCAGCTGAGCTTCACAGTTACGGGTTGGTTCTGAACTTGAAATGCACCTGGGTCGGGGCAACCCTCGGTATCAGAACAGGCTGGGGATGAACAGATTGAGAGCAGCCCTGCTGAGAAGGACTTGGGGGTGCTCTTGGATGAGAGGCTGGACATGACCCAGCAATGTGCACTTGCAGCCCTGAAAGCTGAATGTGACCTGGGCTGCAGCAAAAGCAGCGTGGCCAGCAGGTTGAGGGAGGTGATTCTGCCCCTCTGCTCCACTCTGATGAGAGCCCACCTGGAGTGCTGCATCCGGATCTGGGGTCCCAGCACAGGAAGGAGCTGTTGGAGCAAGTCCAGAGGAGGGGCCACCAAGGTGATTAGAGGGCTGGAGCACCTCTCCTGTGAGGAAAGGCTGAGAGAATTGGGATTGTTCAGCCTGGAAAAGAGACAGCCTAGGCGTGACCTGACTGTGGTCTTCCAGTACCTGAAGGGAGTCTACAAAAAAGATTGAGAGAGACTTTTTACAAGAGCATATAGTGACAGGACAAGGAGGAATGGCTTTAAACTGACAGAGAATAGGTTTAGATTAGATATGAAGAAAAATTCTTTACTGTGAGGATGGTGAGGCACTGGAACAGGCTGCCCAGAGAAGTTGTGGATGCGCAATCCTTGGAAGTGTTCAAGACTAGGTTGGGCGGAGCTCTGAGCAACCTGGTCTAGTGAAAGATGTCCTTGCCCATGGCAGGGGGTTTGGAACTAGATCATCTTTAAGGTCCTTTCCAAGCCAGGCCATTCTATGAAATATGACTCCTCTAGTATAGAAATACCATAACACTTGTCAAGATCATTATTCAGCTATTGATTAGTTCTGTTGGGGATTTTCTTCTAGAGGGATAAAGTTGTCATTTCAATGATACCTTGTATTTTCATCTGTTTGAGAGCCGAATGTGGTTTGTCTGTAGCTTGTCAGTGTGGCTACTGAGCAAAATCTCAAGACTTAATGCTAAAGTGAAGTTGGGTATTTTTAGTCTGTCTCAAATACAGACATCTGGCTTGACCCTGCTGAGGAGCAGCCTGTGCAGGGCAAACAACTTTTTGTAACTGATGTGCACTGGTGTTGCAAAAGATCAGTGGTGAGAGACCAAGTTTTGGATTCATGAATTAAAACTGATAGTTTACTGGGAGGGAGAAGAAGCTTTTTTGTTTGACCAAGATCTTTTTTTCTCATTTCTAAGCTGTAATAAACAGTAGTTAGGGCAAAAGTGTTGATGTGCAGATGTACACCTGAGGATTGGCTTATGGATCTCTTGAAAGTCAGCCTTCTTGAGGTGCCAACAGTGTACAGCCCCTGACACAGCAAAGCTGACAATTGTTGAGAATGTTGTGAAGAGGGTGGGTGAAATCTTCAGAGTTGGGAACATGGAATTTGCAGCCATTATCGATTCATTACTGTGCCATTCAATTGAATAAGAATTTTTTACTAACACAAATTTTCAGTTGTGTTACCATCTTTGTTGTTTTGGTAAAGAAATGCAGGTTTTCTTTTCCAGGTGGGGAGTGGTTCATTTAACCGAGCAAAGCTGCTTAATGTTGGTGTCCGGGAAGCCATGAAGGATGAAGACTGGGACTGCCTTGTCCTGCATGATGTTGACCTAGTACCTGAGAATGACTATAACCTCTACATTTGTGATGAATACTATCCCAAGCATATGGCAAGTGCCATGGATAAGTTTCAGTACATGTAAGTGCCTCCATTTGCTTTCTGTGTATATGCATTCTACTTGGCTCACTTCCTGCTTAGAAAGTAGGGATGGGGAACAGTGAAAGACAGAACTTCTGTAAGGTGTTCTGTGTGTTGGTTTTGCAGTAGTGACTTCCCTAGAAAAGGATGTGCTTGACCTAAGCATGCAATCTTGAACAATTCCTTTGCCTGTAGTTCCCTGTTACACTGTTAGCTCAGCCTGGCAAATAACTGACAGGTTTCAGTTTGACTTTCCTTCAAGAATAAAAGTATAAGGGTGGGAAATACTGGATCATATGGAAGATGATGTGATAGGATGCAGGTATCTTAAACTGGCCCAAGATGTGAAATTTGAAACCAGCTTTACTTTGGTCTACTTTGGGAGAAGATTTTCGGTTTTGGTATTGTAGTGACAGTGTCTGTAAAACATATGTGTGATTTGGATCACATTGTCAGTTGTGAAGGACAGGTATTAGACTTCAGTATTGATGCCTTTTTTGGTTTTTTTCTCTCTTTTAGTCTGCCTTACAAGACCTTTTTTGGGGGTGTATCTGCTCTGACTCCAGATCATTACATGAAGATGAATGGGTTTCCAAATACATACTGGGGTGATGGTGGTGAAGATGACGACATTGCTACAAGGTACTAATGCACAGGACAGTCTTAAAATAGCTAGCTCAAGCTGGCTAGTGAAGTCTAGCATTGCCCTAAGAAAGGAACCAAGACATTGTTCCTTAGTGTGCTTGCAGTATCATTACAATCCAAAATGCTGTTGGCATTGGGAATGGTTAATATCAGAAGCTGCTCAGAAGCTATGAATCCAGCCACTGTGTGCTGGGAAAACACAGCTTTCTCGGCTTAGGAGAGCAGAATGTTACTTCACATCCTTGTGCCTTTAGTCCAAGGGGTTATAACCAGTAGGAGTTGACAAGTGCCTCCTTTGACGTGGACAGCCCCAACAAAGGGAAGGAATCTGCAAGCCTGAGGAATAAGAAGGTACTTACTAATTCTCAGACAGTTGGGAATTTAAGTTAAGTGCATTTAGGTTGCTCTGAGTACTACCTAATCACCAATACTGGGCATTAAGGAACGCAAGGAATTCTATCTTTTGTCTGCAGTGCTGGGTGATGGAGAAGCCTGTGTACTAATGTGAGTCAGTGACAGCAGGAGTTGATGGTCTTCCTTGTACTTGGGTTGCCATGGCAGCAGCATGCTATAGGAGTGAATATGACGAGTTTAGTTCCAGGTACTCTGCCTCATGCGAATTCTTCAAGTGCAGAATCATGGCTACAGCTCCTTTATTCAGCTTTGCAGTTGCACTGTGCACCTTTATCATCCAGCACTGAGGCAGGCTCATGGGGAGTTTTTAAAACTAAACTGACCATAGAAGGCTTTTTGTTTTTCCTTGCACAGTGCAACAAGTTACACGAGGTTTTTTAAAGCAGTTATTTTTCTGGAAATTGAAAGTCAGATTTTTCTAAGGTAGAATTGCTCCTTTGCCTTTCAGATGAAGCCAACTAAAAGGTTATATGGTTGTTTAAAGAGTCTGCATTTATGAAAGGAATGGAATGCCAGGAAAATAGATCTTTACATCAAACACTACAATGCTGGGTTTATTCAACTGTTCTTGGCACAGCTTAGGCATCTAATGTGGTTTTCGGTATGAGGGATAAAAAATCATGCCAGTTATGCATAGGAGTGCACTTCCTTGAAGAGACTCCTGTAAGACAAGTGGATTATGTAGCTCCCAAAATAGCCCTTTCTTGAAAGGAATTGGATCATATGTTTACAGAGAAAACTTTTATATTAATGATTAGCAGTGTTGTGGCCTAGAGATATATGTAGGCCATGGACAGTGCCTGTTAATGATTTATTCACATTCTGAAGTCTCAGCCTTCCCCAGTTAGAAATGAGCTGCTGTTCTTAAGTGACCATCTGGTATTTGGATTTTAGGAGGTGCTTAAGGCACTTCTTACCATGTAGCAACAAAATTAATGATTTTTTTTTTTTGACATTGCAATGTCCAATTTCAAAAAGTCCTGTGTAATTTTTTTTTCTGGGATACTACTTATTAAAGCAGAGCTAGTCGAAAAAAACCTGCTGGCTGCTACTTACATTTGACAGACTGCAAAACTGTATTAGTTGTAGCAAACACCAGGATCTACCTTCTCTCAGAGGAAAACTTATGTGTTTACATTATCAACTACAGGAAGGTCGGTAGGGTTCTTCTTAACAGTAAATTAATGTAAGAACTGTACCATATGACAGTTTAAGTTTAATTTTGCAATGCAGAAACTGTAACAGCAAATCTAGTTTAGTGTTCTTGCTTGTCTCTTTATGATTGAATGTGCCATAAGCTTATGTTCAGAAAACAACAAACTTCGTCTAAAACTCGATCTGAAATAACAGTATTATAACACTGTCAATGAAGTGTTATAATACTCTCATGGCTCTAAAAAAACCAATACTTTCAGATCTGTGGCCTCTTTCAGCTTTATAACATTCCTGCTCTATCAGATCTCACTGGAACGCAGTCAAATGCTCGAAACATGCCAGTTAGATAACCTCAACTGAGCAAACATTCATTCTTACATTCAGAGGAATTTTCTTTGTGTAAGGGCTGTCCTGTGATAACAGAGGTTTGGTAGCCGTTGCACTATTAAAGGCACTTTTTATTGACAAACTAACATAGATGCCATCAGCAGTGGTTGGGGGTTGTTTTAGAGTCACCCAAAATGCTGGTTTTTAGGAGCTCTGTTCCAGAATTCTGAGCCTTCAGTTCACTCATGTCTTATCTAACCATCCCACAACTGAGCTCACATTTGCTCACATTTGTTTGTCTGGTGACTGTATTTATCACTAATCTTTTATGAACCAGTATAATCAGGCCATCTGAATGAATGGCACGTCTCAAAGAACAGAGAGTCTTAATCTGGTTTTGAAACTCAGGACTGGCTTCCTTTCAGAATCTGCAAGTTTAAGGTCTTTTTTTTTAAAATTTAGGTGATGGACCACTAGGCAGCAAACGCTCTGCTCTGAGAAGGAAGTGGAATAATGATTTTGTTAAATTAATAGGAATTGCTCTTAAATGCTCTGTATGTTTTTGCTCATTCCCTGCTTGTCATAATCCTCTTGTACCCTGTGGAAGTGCACTGCAGCTGGGAGCTTTCCAGCCCAAGCTTGGCCTCGACCCTGCTAGAGAAGATCATGTGCTGCTTCTGCATTTTGTTTTTATTGCATTAACACTGAAAATCATCTCTGACTATAACTAAGTCTAGAAACAGCATCTTTATGCCTAAGCAAATATTTTTATATGTTGTTTTAAAGGATTCGGTTAGCAGGAATGAAAATAGTCCGGACACCACCTCACCTTGGACGCTACAAAGTGATGAACTACGATGAAGAGACAGAGATGCAAGAGCCTTGGAGAAGGTAACTGTTTGGGTTGGGAGCTACTCTTTGCCTTGTGGCAGGCAGAGTCTTACTGTCATCTTCCCCAGAACAGGAAGTAAATATACCTCATGTCACTGCTTCTTCTTCTGCTTTAGGGAGGCTATTTAAAAGCACCTCCCAGCCAGTCTCAACTGAATCACTCATATCCTGTCTTTGCACGTGAAGGGTTTCTCCTTGTTTCCTACCTTTTTTTCCTGCTGTGAAGATCCATTCTAGCTACGAAGCTAACACATGTCAGACTTAAGCACCAAATAATTCAAGGAGTAAAACTTTAGGAAAAAATACTGCCCATCTTGTAAATAGGGAGAGTTCACTTTGAAGAGGCACTTTGTTACAACTTCCCTATAATAAAAACTTGCTCTTCAATCTGTGTGGAGTTACAATGTGCCATTAAAATAGTGGAAAGCAGTATTCTAGCTTGAAGACATGAGGAAGGTGCTATGAGAGACTTTATCTAACACTGTTTTATATAGAAGAGCTGGAGGAGGGTGTTGGGTCAAGTGTGGTGGAGGCTTCTCATACCGACAGCGCAGGTTTCTCTTTATCATCTCAAAACTCAGGTTTCCATAACAACCCTGTCTAAAAACCTACCTACAGCAGCCTATGTACACCCTTGCTGCAAGCCTCTTGTGTTGCACTCCTAGGTCTCTCTAAGCTGCTGCCAGCTTCCTGGGCTTTGGCAGACTGTAGCTGCCACCTCACTGGTCAACCTGTCTGATTAGGGTCCAGTCCAAATTGTCCTCCTTGTTCAGAAAACTCAGTGTGAATTCATTGTAATCTGTTTATTCTGTATCATGTGGGGAAAGTTTTCTCAGGGCTTTTCTGCTACCTCTTTGAGACCTCTGGAATCCTCTTTCGTTCTTCTGCAGCTTGAGCTGCAAATGTCGCCTCCATTCTTCTAACTGCAGGTGTTCTTCCTTCCTCAGGCCTACTTCTCAACACAACACCAGGAAAACATGGAAAGCTGATGGAATGAATTCATTACAGTTCAGGCTCCTTTCCAGGATAAAGCATCCTCTTTATACCAAGATCACTGTGGACATTGGATATGTTCCCCCATTTTCTTAAGAGACTGAAAACAAAAGCAGAGGTTGGGTGCAGCCTGGGCACTCAGCTGCTACCTCCCCTTGTCCTGTGGAGTCTGCACCACCTGAGACTAATCCTTTTGCCTTTCATGCATTTCACTTTTCTTCAAACAGTTTAAGATTTAGAAGGACAGGCTTCAGGAATAGGAGATGACAGCTAATAAACAGGCTGTGGTTTACTGTAAAAATTGTCCATGTCACTGTAAAACTAACTACTGAGCCAAGTCTCCTTGACAGTAAGCTGATCCAAGCTTTCTGGAACCTTTGTTCCATAACTGGATAGCTCTGTCCTGCTTTGTACTTAAGTGTTAATTAGGATGCAAACCATTCTGTCAGAATGGCCTCTGAAGTGTTATATTTTGAGAAAGTGTTGAAGCCAGTCATAGTTCTGTAAATATCTTTTGTGAATTTGAGTAAAATAAATTTGAGTTCTGTGTTTGGCTTAAGAGTTTTATATAATATTAAGTAAGAGTGTAATAAAAGAGAAAGTTACCCTGAAACAAGACAGACCAGAGCTTAAGTCCCTGCTTTTCTTTCTGGCCTGATCCATCTATGTTTAAATGTCTTTATTGTAGCTATGCTACAGCTATACTGTAAGTAATGCTATAATGTAAGTAATGGGACCTGAGGCTGTCACCTAGTGTAACCTCCTGCTCAGGCAGGGAAATTATTCTAGTAGTTCAGCTGTTGCTCAGACATTACCATTCAAGGTCGAGCAGTCTTGAACATAAAATACTTCTGAAAAATTAAATCCTAGAGGAAAAACTAAGTAAAACATGTCAATAGTGGAGCTGTGACCCTGGCAGGAATACATTTGTACTTACCTGAGATTGACACATTCTGCCCCAGCCTTGCCCTTGCTGTAAACTTTCTCTCTTGAGATTGACACATTCTGCCCAAGCCCTTGCTCTTGCTGTAAACTTTCTTTCTCTGTCCAGTCAGTCTAGCATTCCCTGCCAGGGCCAGTAATTTTGAGAGCAGGACACTGGGTATTTCTGCTTGTTACTTGAAGATAAAAAAAATTCCTTGTTCACTGAAAAGCTGCATCTATCTCACTACACCTAAAAACACTTAAAGTTTCAGTCTTCTCTACAGTTGAAATATGTCCTAAAAGAAACTCTCCCAAGCCTGGCTTCACATTTACATATAAAGACAGTTAAGTATAATGCAGTAAGGCAAGTGCTCTAATGAAGATTTGAGCACAAATCCTGTAGCACAGTGGAACAGTTAGTTATCTTTCACCTGTCTTCTTCAGCAAGACTCACAAATAGTAATGGCTTGGGTATGTATACAAATACACAGTCTGCTAACAGCATGGCCCAAAATGCAGAGAGAATTTTCTCTCCGTCTGACACAGCTGGCCACTGCTTTTCCTTCCAGATCCCTGGAGAATAACACACATCCTGCTGCAGCACTGAGACTTTGATCACTGCCACAGATTGAAGGATGAGAGGCACTGTGGAGTTCAGCAGACTGCATTTATTGAGAGATTTTTAACATCTCCTTGACCATTACCATTATTGCCCTTCCCTCACACGTGGTTTTTACTCAGGCTAGAAAAATTTAGCTTTTCTTATTAAGCTGGTAGTTGGTGAAGAATTCTTGTGCTTTTAATGAGACCACAAAAAAGTTTAGAAATAGTTGCAAACCGAAATTTTTTTCATTGATTTAGTTCAAGTCCTTTCACTGGACCAGCCCAAACAAGGACACTTTTGCAAATGTCCCAGCAAAAAGTGCATAGAAGACCACGAGGCCCTGTCCCTCAGGTCAGTCCGTAGCTCCAGTCCTCACAAAAGGAAGTTCTCAACCAATCAATTACATGCTGTGAAGGAACACTTTACTTTCTTCTCTGCTACTGAAGCACTCTTCCAAACAGAGTGCCAGCAGCCCTCTGCTCTAACAGCAGCCACAAACAAGATCTGTTGCCATTTCCTAGAACCTGTGTGGTGCTCACCCCTATGAGACCTTGGGCTGCACACTGAAGTCCACTGTAATGTTGATGTACAGTGGGTTGTGTTCCACTGAGAGCAGTTTGTATGAACAAGAATTCAGCCCGTCTGTTTTCCATGTTTTAGACACCTGACGTAGAAGCTTCATCCTGAGGGGAAAGAGGAGAAAAATCTTCACTGATATGCACAGGAGAGGTGTCTTGAGCTCTTTCCCACTTCCTAGTAAATCTGGCAGCAATGCTACTGCCATTATCTATCTACTGGGAATGTAAAGTCCTGTTTTTCCTGTCCTCAACACAGACAATCAGATATGGGGGAATAAAGTGCTTTGGTTTAATCTCTGAAATAGTATGCTTAAATCATATCCATATAACAATAACTTTGGAAGTTTCTAAGGAACACCACCCAGTCAGTTCTACAAAGATCTCAGGCACAGAACAACTGCCAGCTGTGAACAGTGGTGTCACACTGTGGGGTGGCCCCCACAGCCCCTGGGTACCACAAAATGCCTATTGGGCCTAGAGCAAAGACCCTGTCCCCCAGGTGCCTGGCTCCCAGACACAAACCAGGACAATGCAAGGTGGAACACTGTTCTTGACTCACCTCTCTTGATTCTCCTCGTTCCCATGGTCTCGGTTGTGGAAGATCATCGTGTACCTGGCTACATCAGCAGACGGCCTCACCACCTTCATCTTCTGCATCTCAACCCTGGAAGAAGCAATAGTGGTATGAGGAACACAACAGCTATAAGCCAGCTGTTAAGGGGAAAAAAACCCAACAACTGGAGACTTCCTTTTTTGTAGATGCCATGGAAGCAAGTATAGAGTTGTAAAAACTCATCTGCATCTCTGCCACAACCCATTTTGCCAGCAAAACGAGGCTCAGAGTTGCATTTCTGGAGAAAAGGTCTGTTAGGTGTATATGTCACCCTTTCTTTTGAACGGAAGCAGGTGGTTAGTACAGTAGAGATCACACAGAGCTTTAGGCACACATTATACAGCAGAGTATGTTTACATTAGTATTGACTGGTCTGCTCTGTAGCAAGTTTCCACACCTCTTGCAACAAGTTTATCTCTACTCCTGCAATAAAACACCCATAACTTGATAATTCTCCACTTAAAAAGAAGGAGGGGAAAAAAGCTTGTTTTCTTCTTTAATAGCTGGCAGACAGCTGCAAAATTCTTATGTGTTCACATGAAGAAAATTTCTTTGAGAACAATGGCAGAAACACTGAGCCCCACGCACGGATTTAAGTGTCTGACATCAGGCACTTGGTTGGAGCTTGTGACCTTAAACATATCTGTGGAACACAACAATTTTGCTCTGACAGCAGAAGGATTAACCTCTTGGCTAGTCACTCAGCAGCTGAAACAGCAATAGGAAACCAAGATTTGAAAAAACTTGAGCCCTTTTCAGATTTCAAATGGCTTTGTAGCAATAAATTATGAAACAACTACAGCAAATGATCTGAAAAGTCGCTTGGTGATGCATGCCTTAGGAAGGGCCAAAAGAGACCGTCACGTTTAGCCTGGAGGCAGTATAGTAGGACCCGAGAGCCCTCCGGGCCCGAGTTCTGACAGCACTGAAGGGATGCTGCCATCTACTGACTTCACTCAGAAAGGCTCCAAGGATGTCTCTGCAAAACAACCCCCACCCCGAAGCAGCAAACTTGCCCTTACCTACCCCTTGCAGACTCCCTTCCAAGCCAAGACCCACCCAAGAAGAAAGGCACGAGAAGTTGCAGTGCACATGCTGTGTTGTATGACTTGATTTCCACACCAAGACCAACAGCTGCAAAGTTAAGAGGTGCCACGCACAGGCATCCCTTTCAATTCCAACCCCTTGAAAACATCTTAGAGACTCTCAGTAAATCCTGCTGGTCTGCTGCACAGCTGCTTCTCCAGTGCCCACAGGAGTATCTGAAACACCACTGTCACCCACAGGAAGCTGGGAAATAAGATGGTACCAAGCCACACCCTACCACGATAAAAGCCAGTTCCCCAAGAGGTCACTGAGAAGCTCGTGTGTCTAGGTAGGGGTTGGAAGGAAAAAAAGTGATTAACTGTTGACCAATTGCTAAACTGACACAGTGGAAAAACTTTCATTTGGAAGATCCTAACTTTAACCCACTGGATCCCCTATGCAATTATGTAACATCACCGGGGATATGACTTTCATTTCGCCAGCATTTAATCAGCTGAAAAGGATAACAGCTTAAGAATGAGAGTTTGTAACCCAAGTTACAAACTAACAGGCTCTGCCAACAGAGTTTGCAGGGCTGGGTTTGTGTTTTTTTTCTGTTGTTTATGGGTTTTTTCCCCACCCTTCACTAACAGCAGTGCAGGATTAGAGATTTCTTCCTAAGCACAGGGCAAAAGATCAATGTAAGTTTTGCTGATTTCCTTGTCCCACTAAACCTCTCTCAACTAAAAAAATTATCCTACTTTGACAGGCACATCTTCAAAACTAGTTTTAACAAGAGCAAAGGATATATGCATATATATGCAGCCTTTCTAAAATTCAAGTTATTTTCTATCTTTATGATAATCAACACCACCCACATACAAACTAAGCCCTGGCTGGAGTAAATCATGGTAGCCAGTGAATGCAAAACACTCCCACACTTGCAAAGTACTGGAACTGAATGCCTTTGTGTCTCTGGCAAACCACACTCTAAATTCAATCTCATTATTTCCATTATAACCAATTTCCAAGCGAGAATACAAATACTGTGTGGCTGAGACAAAGCCAAAACAAATCAAGCAAATACCTTAACCCACACCCAACCATCAACAATGCTGTCAGGAAGAGGACAAGGACTCAGGCATGCCTAACCCTTGCAAAGGGGAAACTGCTCACAGAACTGCATCTTGCACTTCAAATCCCCACTGCAATACTGTTTGGAACTGAACCCCCTGTAGTGCTCTACTTTATGAGGCTTGCTGTGAAGTCACACTAATTTTTAAAATTTTTTTTAAACCAATTTCTCATTGTTTACCTGATTCGAAGGTCATCATCTTCTCCACCCCAACCCCAATAGTTGTTAGAGAATCCATTAACTTTGGAAAACTGATCTCTTGTTAGAGCAGTTACACCTCCAAAATATCCCCGGTACCGTAACCTGGAGGTACACAAGAAGAGAGAATGAAGAATAAAAAGTCAGATTTTAACAACAATGAAAATATCACCCTGAAACTCCAGATCTAGACTTGTCTTTCACAGAGTTAAGGGTGCACAAATCCTTGTAGCTGATCCTGTTCTCTTCCTCTTTTGACAAAAAGGTGGAGATTTGCTTTAGGCCAGAAAAAGTTAACTCTCCAACAGAAAGAATGGAGTCTTCTTCAGTAGCTTCTCTCTTTTTATACTATTCCCCTTGCTAGCCAAAGAGGCACTTCACCTCAGGGACTCTGATGTGTAGAAAACAAAGCTACGCACTAATATAGTGGAAGCTTTGCAATAATGATGGCAACCCATCGCCTATCTGAAGAGCTGAATCT